TCCCCGTCCCCGTAGCCCTCCAGGATAGCATTTCACACATGTGGCATCTGAGTGTGCTCTGGTGTTTGCTGATGGTGGGGGGTGGGGAGAGAGCTGACCTGAGTCAGGGTCAGCTGAGCTCCTCTGTGAGAGAGAATGGAGGTCCTGTGGGTTAGACGAGGTGCAGGGGCTCGAGGCTGGGCACTGTGGAGAGTACAGTTATAGGGACATGGCTGTGGAAGAAAGGGCACATGGGCTACAGGGGCTGGTGCATCTTGAGTGCAGTGGGGGGTTTAAGGGACCAAAGGGCAAAGTGTGCACAGAAACTAAGGGGATGAGACAGTTGGGGTCTCAGATCCTATGGATGCAGCCGTCCTGGGGACAAAGGATACGGTGGGGAGGCGGAGACCATGAGCTCAAGTGTCTGAAAGACAGAGGTAGGAAAACTTTAAGGACAGTTAAAATCCCCAGGGATAAAATACCCAAGGGAAAAAGTGCATTTAAATGATTCCTTCATTTAAAGACTATTTGGATGGAAAGACAAACACACAGACACATGGACAGAAGAACTGCAGAAATCTTCCCCATGTACAGCTGAAAAGGAGAACAGAGGTCAGGTGGGCCACACACGAGATGCTCTTGGAGATGAGGTAGCAGCCAGTGGGATGCATTCAGTGAGGAAGTGGGATTACTTCCCAAATGCAAGCATCACTAATATAAGTAAGACAAGAGACAACAAGTGTTTTCAAGAATGCATTAAAAAGAACACCTCAGACATTGTGGGAGGTGAGGTAAATGGAGACACCCCTCATGGAAATAGTGCACAGATTTCTCTAAAAACTGGAAGTAAAACTAAAATGCTACATAGTAATCCCATAATCCCACCTCTGGGTCGATGTCTGAAGACGATTCATATCTCAAAGAGACGTGCTCATTGCAGCACCATTCACAAGGGTGATGCATAGAAAAGACCAGAGAGTCCATGGTGGGTGAAACCACCTAGAAGATGGGGTGTGACTCTTATGTCTTGGACATTATGGAGCCTCCTGAGGAGAGAGATCCTGGGGACATATGCTAACCTGGATGGCATGACTCAACACAGACGCTGTTTGTTCTCATGCTCATGTGGAATCTAAAAAAACAATTTTGTAGAAACAGTACAACAATTTTGTAAAGAGGTGTGTGGTGAGGGATGGGGAGAAGTTGGTCATGGTTTCTGAATTTTTGGTACAACATGAATAGATTCTGGGAATATTCTTGCAGCATGGAGACTGTAGTTAGGAACACAGTGTGTTTTATTTGAAATGTGCCGAGAGGTCTCTAGTGTCCTTACCACACACAAGCACAAAGGTAACTATGTGACTTGATAGGTGTGTTACCTGACTGGATTGTGACAATCATTCCACAATGTGTATTTACCAGGTGTCCTTGGACACCTTACGTGTGTACAATATGTTTGTCTGTCATACCTCAATAGAAGAAGGTGGGAAATCTGTGGGAGTTCTCCCCTGTATCATAAGTGGGCACACCCCTCAGAGAAAAAGCCTGGTCTGCACCCTGTGGGCAGTAGCCAGACCTGACACCCTCCAGCCCCTCACATCCCTGCATCCAATCCAAACCCATATCACCACATTCCTGTGTCCTGTGGCCTCACAGTCACTCCCTGTGATGCCTGTCCCCAGGGCCTCAGGACAGCTGCTCCTCCTCCCATTACCCTACAAGCCCTGTCTTCAGTGCCCTTCGTTCTCTTGTCAACTCCCCATCCCAGGGTCTCAGGCCTTTCTCCATGGCCTCTGCCCCACCCCACCAAATGCCCAAGCCTTACTCTCAGGCTTTGCCAACTCCAAGTTCACTGCAGACTGATCACAGCCAGTCCCACCATCCTCCGTCTTGGTCCTGGGTGCACACTTCATTGTCTTCTTGTTGCACTCAGSTTACCTGCATCTACATCTGGACACTTTCCTTGGTCTCACTGGTGGCCTTGTGAGTCCAGTTGCACCACATGGCTATAGAATGCAGCCTTGTAACTATTCTTAAAATCTGGAAGTGCACAGCTTTGAACTTGGATTTTCTGATGTTCCCCTCACTAGTCTTTGTTCTCACAGCCCCCTTAGCTCTCTCCRCCCACCTCCTCCCAGCTTCCTCTGGCCAGGTGTCTAGCTTCCCCTCACCATGGGCATTGCCCCTCTGCAGACTCACCCTCTTCTTGTCACACTGCTGGCCTTTTTTGGACACCCCTCACTTCACGACCTCCAGCCCTAGGCATAGAGTGTCCACATGTGGGATTCATGCTTCAGAGACAGTCAATCTGCTGTGACCACCACCACCCAGTTACCTTCACCTCTGTTCACACTGCTGGCTCCAGAGAGCGTCTGCATTCCCATATGACCATGTGCCCATGTCCCCACTACCTGTTAGTCCACAGGACCTTAAGTCCCTCTGCACTCTGCCCCCTCCTCCCTCAAACCCAGTTGTGCACATTAACATTTCCTGGGTATTTCGTGACCTTTTTCCTTTCCCCCTCGACCTTCCCTCCACATTCTCTCTTTCCTGAACATCACAGGATCTGCACGGTCAACCATGGGCATTTCCCCCTTTCTCCATGTCATCTTCTTGTATTCATGTTTTAAAAAATCTTTCTACTTGTTTTATCTCATTTCATTTCCATTTTAGTACCTTAAATAATCATGCCACTCTGGGAAATAAAGAAGAGGAAGTAACCAGATTTGGGGTAGAAAACTTCTGAAGAAAGCAAGGAATACAATGGGTCATGCATAGCTCACTGCCAGGCTATTCCAGGACAAAATTCCAGGTGACACCCTGCCTTCCTCCAGGAACCAAGGATACATTAAAGCCTCTCTGAACACTCTAGTATCCCCTTGGGTGGTTCTAGCAAGAGACTTTGTAATTGTTTTTGGTAAGTGTCACCTGGGGAGAACGTTTTCAGCAGTGTCCTCAGTTCCCCAACCCGCATGCCCATTGCTGCCACAGGCACAGTGATCACTGCAGGTCCACGGGGAGGTGAGGTCACAGAGTCACAGACTCATACCTTAAGAGCTACCTGCTTCCCTGCAGCACATGTCCTGGTCACAGAGGCCTCTGCACTAAGATTACATTCTGTCAAAGAGAAAGAACCTGGTGAGTAATCCAATTTCAGTCTTAGAGTGGCATCCGTGGGGGAAGACCCATTTCAAGATCGTGGGTAAGTGTTCACATCAGAAAAGGGGAGGCTGGATTGAGCCATACAGGAAGTAGATCAAGTGCTGAAGAATGGGCTCAAGACAGTTGAGATAAAAGGGGTGGCAKCCTCAGCCTCCATCTCTGATAGCTCCTGATTAAATAAATGTGATGCTCACTGATAGTGATAGAGATGTGTCAGTCCAAATGAAAAAAAAATGTGGTTTTTAAAGTGCACTGGAGGTAGTTTTATAACTAATCAGCACTTCAGTTTCCTTTATAGGAATTATATGCTGATTATACATCAGTCTTATAGCTGGACTTATAATACCTACATGCTTGGATATAGAGTAGGAATAATTTTCAGGACTCCTCTAGTTCTGTGTAGAAAGTGACGTGAATGGTGATGCTTGAGCAGAAAGTATTCTCTAGTTCTCGGCCTGGTGCAGACAATGGAGACACTACTTGTAACAGTCTGAAACCTTCAATTGCCTTTGATTATAGTGAGGCTATTTCCCTCTTGAATTAGTAAGAAGCATGTATGCAGTGTACATAATGTTTACAGGTTTCCTGTCTTCCCTGTTAAAAATATTTGCCTGGAGGTTGCAAATGTACCATCTTTTCTAAGAATTTAATAGTGGAGCAGCCTGAGAGTGCAGGGGGAAAATGGGAAATTTCTTCATCTGGTCCTTTCTGGTAAACCTAAAATTTCTCTAATCAATAACATCTGTTAAAAATGGGCATTCAAATGACCTGTTTGAATTTTAAATGCACAAGTTTTCCTGCCCACATGTGCCAGTGTGTGGGGATGGCTCCTACTGTATATTATTCCTCAATCTTGCTTCTTTAAAATAGTTTTACTAAACACTGGTATTAATTAACCCATATATATCCTCTGCAATGAGTAAATATTTTTTATACTCTCCTCTCATTTAGTCTATGTTCATTCTTCATGTTC